AACTATCCAAAACGACTTGAAGCACAACTGTTGATCCATCATTCCCAACCAGATACAAACCAGTCCGATTGACAGCCAAGAACGAGGCCGGCGCATTCGAGTCTTTGAAAGCATTTGTGTCCATTGACAATTTCCAATAACTCAGACCATTCCACTGCAATACCGCATTATTACCGGTAACCACAAACCGATAATCACCCAAGGACAAGTTATCCTCCGAGACGAAACTGCTCAGCGATTTTCCCACAAGCAAACGTTGCCCCTCAACGATGGTATCAGTGGGGTAATCAAAGCTCTCCCACAACGAAACATTATGGGAATCGATGAGAACAAGGTTTCCAGATTCTTGAAGCTCTAAAGCGGAAACGGAGGAGTCCAGCTCGGGAGTTGACCAGATAGGGTTTCCAGACTGATCTGCGATGTAGAGACCACCATGGGTGAGGTATAATTTAGTGGAATCCGACATGGGTTTTGTGGTAACGGCAGTCCAGATGATGGAATTGGATGATGAGTGGATGACAGAGAAGTAGTAGCGATGAACTTGTGGTTTGGGATTGGAGATAGCAGCCTTGAAAGTTCCATTTGGAGAGAGCAAGAAAGCACCTGAGTGATCAATGAAGTCGAAATAAGAGGCCGTGAAGTTTGGGAGAACAGAGTAGAGGAGAGGGCCTGAGGAGGAGAAGGACGGGAAATATAGAAGGAAGATGAAGAAAGAGGAAGAGAAGAGAAAATAGTCCATGCCGATAGATTGAGAAAATATTTTCTTGAGGGTTTACGATTGGGAGGTTTGGAGGTTGAAGATGATGTGGGTTTTTGGTCTCCATCTTATTCAAATTCAAACACCAGAGAAATAGACAAGGTGATGCGTGTTGACTCTGAAGAGTTGGTGGTTTGATTTCCATGGCTGAGCATTTGCTGTGATGCTTTCTGTCAACCTCCCAAACTAAATATATATATTATATACATTTTAACTGGGTGGAGACACTTGAACCGATCTCGCTGATCCAGTGGATCTACCAAAATTCTCTCTCATTATTTCTCTGAAAAACCCAAAACGCATTGGATCATTTGAATTATTTTAGTTGAATTAGGATTTGATATTTATATACAATATATTTTTAGTCTTAACTTTTCTATATTTTAATTTAGTGTACATGTATAATGTACTTAAGTTTTAATTAAAAATGTCTCATAATTTTTAATTTTTAATTAACAAATAAATATGATATTTATTTGTAAAATCGTTCATATGCAATGTAAGCATTTAATGAGTGAATCTTGATTATCTGAAGTTTGTAGTTCTCTCAATTTAACCTCGAGGACAAAATATTTTGTAAAACAAAAGTGAGATTTGAGATTCATGTTTATTACTCGAGGAAAATCACTTATGAACAGACACTAACATAAAAAGCATATTACAACTCTATTTGATCGTAGTTGCTTTCTATTCTACCACCTTCTCACTCTCTCTCCCTGTCTTTGTCCCAATATTTGCCTTTGATTAATATCTCTAAGATAATTAATTGAACAATCCGCATAAATTAAACCCAAAAAAAAAATGATTAGAAAAATCTCAACCTCCCCGGCAACTTCGTGAGCCTACACAAGTGTTTACGTTTTCAGTATAGCCGGCTACAAAAGCTTACAACTTGCATCGCACTGAAAATGATATGAAAATTTTACGGGTTCTGAATTTTCCCAAAAAAGCAAAAAAAGAATTTTGGCAAGTGATTATCAATTTCTTTGTTGATGGGTTTTTGGTCCCCAGCAGACTGGAACTTGTGGATCTCTTTCATCTTCACATCACTGCTCATCTTCTTCTCCTAAACCATGTTCAACAAAATAAGAGGCGCAGCTACAGTTACTATTTTCCCCCTAATTTGGCGGATCTCTTTCCTTTACCCGCACAACCCTATTATCAATTTCTTCTATCCAATTCGTTCTTCCAACCATGGCTTTAACCATTAAAGTTCATATCTTCACTACCCATCTGAATTCCAATCCCAAAAAGTTCACTAACCCATTTACCACCACCCTGATTAGACCAAACCACGTATACCACAAAAACCCATTACTTAGTTTAGTCTGTAAACCCAGAATGCAAGCTTCTTCTTCTTCTTCCCCTATGGTGATTAAGAGTTCATTAATCGACCCTGATGGTGGAGTCGTGGTGGATCTGGTGGTTCCGGAGGTTGAGAGGGCTTCCAAGACGCTTGAGGCCGAGTCATTACCGAAAGTGAGGCTTTCTAAGATCGACGTTGAATGGGTACATGTGATCAGCGAGGGATGGGCCAGTCCGTTGAGAGGGTTCATGAGGGAAAATGAGTATTTGCAGAGTTTGCATTTTAATTGCATGAGGATGAAAGATGGGAGTATTGTGAATATGTCGCTACCAATTGTTTTGGCTATTGATGATGAGACTAAGGAGCGAATTGGGTCGTCCATGAATGTTGCACTGGTCGGGCCTGAAGGAGATTTGATTGGTATTCTACGGAGGTAAGTTTCTCCTCATGTCCATTGTTTGAATGTTGTATAGTTTATAAGTGTTTTTGTGTTTTTTTTTTTTCAATGTAGTAAACAATTGCCATGTTTTGTGCCCAATAATTTGATTGTGAATGGAAGGGGTGTATAATGGTGTTCCTTGGAAGGAAAATAGAAGAAGAAGAAGAAGAAGAAAAAGAAAAAAGCAATTTGATGAGTACAATGTACATGCCATTTAGCTAGGTTTTGACCAACTTGAATTTAGCGGTTGGACATCTATTTGACTTCCTAATTTCTGGTTTTTCATTTTTTTATCTGCTGTCTGAGTGTTGTTGTACAGTTGGAGTTTAGTTGAATTGATATATTAATTGGGAGTGTGGGGAGGAAGCAGTGGATAGTTACTCATGGAGGATTGTAGACAAGTGAGGTTAATTTTTCTGGAAAAATATGAACATCAACAATTATAGAAAATAGTTTGCTTAAATTTTCAATTTCATGGAATAGGAATGTGGATAGAATATAAAGAGGTAAATTTGAGTGAAAATGGCATTTCAAATGGGAATAATGAAGCAAATGAAAGACAATTTGGATAACAAATTGAAAAAGTATAGGAAAGAGAAGGATATATATTTATATAGTTTTGGTTTGGTTTCATTGTAAAGGGAATTATTAGTTATAGGAAAATAGTCAATAATATTGTTTATTAGTAAAATAAAGAATTAGTAGCAAAGATAAAAAATTAGAAGTATTTTTTACTAGTTTTTGTCTTGTACCCAAATAAATGGAAGGATAGGGAACATTCATTCTTCTCTTTCCTTCTACTTTCCTCACATGGGCTAATAATTCTTCTTCTTACTCCATGGAAGTATTTTTGGGTGTAGAAAGTACAATTTTTGGTTGAAGGACCCTATGCCCTTGCTAAGGATTGGTTTTATTTTTGGAAGTTTTCTCCATTTACGTGTTA